TTGTGTTGTATTGAAAAACCCCCAAAAAAAGGAAATTAACTTCATGACTACATGCAAGTAGAGTCCCTGCAATTTCATCAAGGGTTTTCCTGTGTCATGCCTCTGGCCTGTGCTTGCCCTGAACAGGTGAATTGTACACGTAATTTCTCTGAAACATTCCAGATGCACTGGATTTACTACCCACACAGAGATTTCAGAAGCACTTTTCACCCACAGCAATGAGGAAGAAACCACTCTCCTGTGGGTGTCAGAACCTCTTAGGGTTGAGCAATTAGGACATAAATAAAGGCAAACATGTTGAGTTCCCTCCCCAGGTGTCAGTTTCAGATGGTGATGGATGGAAATAGTAATAGGATAATGTAAGGCAGGGACATGAGCTGATTTGTCCAGGTGCTGGAAACACATCTAGATAGATTCTATGGATATCCAACTGCTCTTGTCAGAGCTGCAGCTCCTGCTGAGCTGCTACACAGATGTGAAATACACAACTTCTACTCCAGTAAAATTTATAGATGGAAAAAAGGGGTATGTCTGCAGAAAACCAGATGAATGGTAAACTTCCTTATACTTCTGCCACTAGTACTTCATAAAGCATTTTGACTTCCATACAAATTCTGACTCCTTAGTTTTATATTTTACACAGTCTTTCCTGTAGGCTGTGACCCCTGACTTCCAGAATCCATTCAAAGACCCTCTTCAACCCTGCAATATTCTGAGAAGTCCACTTGAAGCCATTTGTATGCTTGTCTTTGCCTGAAGCTCTTGCTCTAGGTGGCAGGAGGACACCAGTCAGACCAAGTGACCAACAAGGGGACAAAGCACATTCTCATCCCAACAGGACCAGCCTTCTCCTCACCCTGTGGAGCTACTCATTCTCACTTTGGCAAACCAAGCAGCTCCAGACCATGGTCTTGCACCCAAGACTGGCATCTAGGGGCAAATCCAAGTGCCCCCTCCTTGTCTGGCAGAGCCACTGACCCAGCAGGCAAAGGGCACTGTGTGTTCAGCACTTCTGCACAGAGTGGCAGCTGCTGGGACTTGAATGCTTGGTAGAAAATACATTTTATCCCCTTCTTCCCACAACTGATCCATCCCTGACTATACACAGGTGCTGTTAAATGAATAAACCTACTGAAAAACAAAGATAAGAAATATTCATTTATTATTTTCAGTGGAGAAATGGTGACCATACTTAAACAAAGGAAGGGATGTTTAATTTTATACTGTCATGGTAAAAAAGTTTACTGCAAAATCTAACTTAAAATATATATTATTTTGACAGCGCAGCAATGTTCTATTTTTGTTACTGAATAAAATAACTAGTAGCTGGGGTTTTCTTAGGAGATCTTTAATGCTTCATTGCTAATCATCTGATTTATTCCACATAAGGGAAAATATATTTTCTTCTGGAAATTTGTAGTGAATTTCAGGGTGAAGTCACTTCCAACAAAACCGATTTAGCAATACCCACAGGTGATGGCATGAACTCTATTAAAGGCAAGGAAATTGCCTTTCAAACTCTTGGCAAGCATTTCATTCAGGATACTACGAAAGCTTCAGAGCAGTGAGTATGCTGAGTTAACAGAGGAAATACTGAGTAATTAACAACTAAATCTCAAAAATTAAGACTTGTCAGATCTTCAGGTCGAAATATGAAGTTCGGTCTTTTGGGGCATTAATCACTTGGCCACTCACTAAGTGTAGTGTTTGTCACATGGAACTAAGTCACTGAAAGATAATCAAATTAATGCAAAACCACAATGAAATATTTTCTAACCTTGTATTTAAACCATAAATAAAGTAAACATCACATAAAGTTAACTTAAAGATTATCAACCAAGAAACTATTAATTTTGATAACAAAGTTAGGGGGGAGAGTGAGTGTTGGAGTTTTGTGTTTTCTTCCTAGCTTCAGAGGTTGCAGTTGAAGATAAAATGCATATAATTTAAAACTTGAACTTACAAGAAGAGTGACATCATTTTTACATCTTTTCCACCACATGCCATTAGACTCTTTTATGACTTTTGGCTCTTCAGGTCAAATTTTATGTCTTCCAAAGAGAAAATAATTTTGACCATTTCTAAAAAGAAGATCTGTCCCATGGAGCAAAACCCACTTTCCATGAGGGCAGGCATTTATTTCACATACATATATATAAGGCACTTTTAATATTATATAAACACTCATTTATCTATCTATACAGCTACCTAATTTTGTTACAAGCAGGTTTATGAGTTTTGGAAGGAACCACCACACAGGAAAGGAGATCTGCATTGTGGTCATGAAAGTATGCTCCATAAAAAAGGCATTTCTGAAACATCTGACAAAACTCCACCACATCACAGCACTGAAACTTCTCCTACCCTCAAGCTCTTCGTGTTACAAAATGAATAAGCTTTTCTAGGCAAGCCTTATGAAGTTCTCAGGAGGTTGTGCACTCTCAGAAAACAAAAACAATATCTGGAAAAAGTAGTCTTAGAATATATTTCTAGCTACCATATTTAAAGTTCAGGCCAACTGAAATATTTCTATGGATGATAAATACATCTTTAAAAAAAAAACATTACCATGGCTTTTGTCACATTATGCAATACAAATTTTTTTAAAGTAATACTTACTAAAAAATAAAAAGTTCATTGATTTTTTTTTTTATGCTCAAAGATAGAGCACAAAGTAAAAAGACAATTAGACAAAATGATGGATTTGAGCATATGCTGCATTTTACTGTTAAAATGTATGCATAACTTCCATTAATGTCAGTATGAGTTATGTGTGCACTGCTAAAGTAATATCACCATAACAAAAATATTTCCTCCAGAACTAATAAAGTAATATTTTTAATAGACATTTTAAAAAAAATCACATATTCAGAAAATAACATGCAAATGCAACTCCTTCTTCAAACTTACACTTTCAAACCCTTTAAAATAAACCTTATTTTTTCACAAATTGGCATCAAGTTAAAGAGTTGATTTTATCAATTACTTTTCATTTAATGGGTACTTACCTTGTTTCCAGTTCAAAAAGACCAACCAGGTATGAGCAAGACTAAGCTGCTATCCATTTTTATTCTAAACTTCCATAAATAACCAAATTTATATGGGAACAAGAAATGACAATTGAAGAAGTTATCTAAAACTGACAACTGATTGTGGCCAGTAAATTGAGGTGGATCTTTATAATGACAGCCAGATGGGCCTAGAATGCAGAGCTATGGTTGGAACTTGAACATAATACAAGCATAGGAAATGATAATGAATGTTCTTAAACACACAGTTCATGCCTATTTAACTGGAAACTAGTAGCCAAAAACTGTAATCACTCAATATTGAATATTTTAAATGGTAAATAGAAATTATGGTCAATGCTTCCAATTAATAAGTTATCTTAAAATGACAGAGATAAGATAAAATTTTTATTTATATTATTACAACACAGAATTATCATTATTCTCTCTGCAGCTGTCTAGGTCCTAGCTAGCATCAAAAATCTGCTTTTGGAAATATCTTGTTCATTTTTTAAAAAACAATATTGAGCATATTCTGTAATAATGCAGCCATTTTATAAGGTTTGCTTCACTTATTTCAGTGAGCAATTGCAAAAATTACACTACTGCGATTAAATATCTGAATTGTTTCTAAAAGACATTTATGAGCAGAATCATAAAATGGTTTGGGTTTGAAGGGACCCTGAAGATCATCTATTTCCCAAATCCCTGCCACGGGAGGAACACCTTCCATTGGACTAGGTTGGTAATTCTAAAAGAATTAAAGATTTTTTCTCTATTTCATTCACCAATTGTTAATTATGATTAAAAAAAAAATAAAAATCTTATGATTAGGACAAAAAAAAAGGCACTTCAGGAAACAGACCAAAGCATTATACAGAAAATATGTGACTGGTACTGAGCAACTGAGTTAAGATGGGACAATTACTATGTACATATAACAGATTTTATTAAAAAAAACTTTTTAAATTTATCTATTATAGAAGATAATAGACTATAATTTCACATAGTATTCTAACTCCTATGTGATTCCATTTTTCTGTATGGATATAGACCTCATTAAAGTCAAAACCAGAAATTCTTTAGATATCCCTGGAAACATTTGTGCTTCCATTACAGTATTTCTGCACCTGTATTACATGGTAGACATTCTTAAAAGACACTTTTATAAAACCCTGCTAAGTATGTGACTCCATTTCCACTTTGTCTTATTTAAAATAACATTATGAAAACATTATGAAAATCATTTCTCCTGATTATTTCACTTCCCTTAAAATGCAAGGATAACTACAACAATTGACCTGAAGTTATATGTCTTTGCCCCTCAAAAAACTGTTTCAAAATTACAACTGTGAAATTTCGTTGTTGAATGTTAAGTACACAATTACCATAGCAGGCTCACCCTTTTTGCCAATTTTAAAGATCAAATCAGAGCTTTAATGCCCCATAATTACAGATATTTACTTTTCTTTGCATGAAGAAAGGTAGATTTAAATTATATGTCTCTCTTCCTTTTTCATTCTGAACACATGTACACAGTGATACAGTGTATGCAAAAACTTCTTTGTTAATTTGGGGGTGTTTTTAACCAATTCAAAGCAATAAGCTTTGCACCAACAATAGAAAGTTAATAACTGCCTTCCCTTGAATGTGGCAGAGATTCCAGCATTCCATTTCCACTGGGAGATGGGGCTTTAGATTCTGTTTCTCATATAAGTTATATAGTGCTGATATTTTTATTTGCATGTAACAAAGAACAATTTATAAAAAATGTTGAGTACTTCTAAAATGAAGATTTTTGCAATTCTGTGTTTTTAAATGTATTTGTCTTAAAACTTTTACAAGTCCTTAGATTCAGACTTAAATATATGCAGAGAAAAATAAAAAATTACACCAAAAGAAACCCATCAAAACATTCTCCTATGGCAAAAGTAATTATTTTCTTTTTTCTTTTTTTTTTTTTCCTAAAATTAGAGAAATCAAAGGACTTACTTCATTTCTAGAATTTCTTCAAGTTGTTTTCTTCGCTCTATTCTCAGGTTAGCCAGATGTGCTTCTTTTTCAGCCAAAGACTGCTGTGTTGAGGCAAGACGGGCTTTGGTAGAATCTAATTCTTGTCTAGTCTTTTCCAGTGCATTCATCAGCTCTTCTACCTAAGGGAGAGGACATTTTAAACTCCATATTCTTTACAACAAGAAAATATTAAATCCATATAAATGCGGGGGAGGGGGGGAAACATAGTAAATGAATTATTTTCCATAAATGGCTGTTCAAATCTCTTCCTATCATAACTGTTTTAAAAACTAACAGTGGTGTTTCAAAACCAAAAAAAAAAAAACCCTCAAAGTTTCCATTAATCCATTAGTAATAAACAATATTTATACAAAATAGAACTAACACAGATCACCAGAAACCTATTTAACCTGGGCCACTGCCACATGTAGATACAATTTATAAATATGTTCTGCACACTTTGTATTATTTAAATTTAGTGTGGTGGTAATTCATCATAGAAGTAATTTCAGAAATTTTAAATACATCTATAGATGAATGTTTTAATATGAAAGTGTTCATGAAAACCCAACATTTTTCATTAAAAATGCACACCTTTGCAAAACAGGTTGCTCAGGGAAACTGTAAACTCTGCAGTCCTTGAGTATTTTAAGATTTTGATTGAATGAAGCCTGGAGAATCTGATCCAACTTTGAAGTTATTCCTGCTTTGAGTAGGGGTTTATAGTGCATTGCCTCAAGTGGTCCCTTCTAATCAAATTATTCTATCATCCTGAACTTTAAATGTCTGTAACTGCTCTAATAACAAGCAAGTTATTTTCCTCCTGGTAACTGTGAGAAGCTCTGAAGCTTGAAGTGAAAGATGTGGTGATCCCATTCTTTCCTTAGCATGGAGAAATTTAAAGAACACACTGAAGAATGGAGACTACAATGACTCCTGTCTGACAGCAGAAGCTTTACTTGTGGGGGGAATCATTTTATGTGAATGGCTTCCAATAAAGAGCATGCCAGAGGGATTCCCCCTCTTCAACTGATACAGTTTACATAATGTGGAATAGACTTTTTTTAGTGAGACAAAAGGATTTGAATAATGAATGTCTATTTCCTGTATGTTCTTTCTCACCTCCTTTGTCCAAATATTATTATTTTATAAACTAGAAAACACTTCAGAAAGAACTTCTAAATGGAAAAAATAAAATAAAAGGGGAAGAGGATATATTCCATTCATCCATGCCATGCAAAGCATTGAAATGAGTTCAATTCTGCTGTAAATTGAAAATTCTGATTAAATTCCACAGTGCTCATATCAGTGTGGCTGCTTCTCCCAAGCTCATGCTTAACTGTTGATCTCCAAAGCCTCCTAGCAAGCAGTGCTTGTAAGTCACATTTTTGTTTGGATTCCAATATACATGGGCTTTCATATAAAAAGTTCAATAAATAATACAAATAAATAATAGAGTTGCCATGAATTACAGTGAGGACTCACAGCCAATTTGCCAATGATACACTGATTACTTACTCCTTCCACACCATCTATACAAACACTCTAATACAAACAATGAAATACTAGAATGTGTCTGATACCCTGCAGTGCATAAGAAGCTGTATTTCATGAATGCAGATCAGAATTACCAATAGCATTGAAACTATGGATCTTCAACCTTCCACTCAGAAAGTAAAAGCAGTGTAATGGTGCTACCCATGAAATAGTAAGGAGTGCAAATCATAAGTTTCTGCAGATGCAAGATTCCCCTGAAGAAACCACAAAGATGATGACTTGAGATTCTTTTGTGAAATGATTGTCTAGTGAACGTTCATAGCAGAAATAGCAGAGAGAACATATACTTGAGGGAATTAAAGAAATAGAAAAGCTGGATTTGCACTTTAATCCCATGAAAAAAAAAGAATTAACAGGCCAGAAGGAGTCAGATCATGTTTCTTTAAAAACAGATTCAATTTCTAATATAACACCAGGTATTTCATCTTCTGCTTTAGTTCAAGAACATAAACCCATGCTGTGTCCAACAGCTTCAAGAGTCAACTACTAAAACATATATTTCTAACTCTTTTCTGGGTTACTTCTTAGGCTTTTCCTTGTACCTTTTAAAAACTGCATCTAGTTTCTGCTGAGCATCCACTCTATTATTTAATTCCAGGACACATATCTTAATGGAAATGTAGTAAAGATCAGAACTGAAAAGTCATTAATTCATACAGATTCCAGCTTTGAGACAGTATCTTTAAACACCAAGACACTCTGCACTTGCAAATTTGTTGGGCAAATGAGAATGTAAAAAAGCAGAATTCTTGCACTTCTGTATTTTTAGTATTATTTTTCTCCCTTTCCATGTTCTCAGTTTGGTACCCAATCTGATGATTGACTGAATCCTTCACATTATATATATCACATAATTTACATTTCAAAACATTTAAGAGAATTAAAGACTTGTGGAAAAAAAAAGCTGTGGATTTGTTAATGTCTATTAATAACATACTCTTACATTACCATACAAAAGAGATCAAAGTTTAAATGAGAAGGGAAGAAATCTTTTAAAACTAAAATATGAAAACTTTTTCAAACCATAAATCGCTAACACGTGTCGAAAGTTTTATTGTCATTTACACTTTCAACATGGTATTTGCAAGCTAGTTCTTCCTTCATTTTTTGAATGTGACCCAAGTTCATGGTTGCACATTTTCCTACCTGTTCTACCAACACCTACAGCTTGAATTCAACTGGTGGGCATGTGCACAAGAAACTGGATTGTTTTTTTATTTATTCAACTCCTGTCAAATATAAACCTGTGGATGTTGAATTTGCACAAACCATCTTCTCACCATGTCAATTTTATAGCTTCAGCAGACTTGCTACAATGGAAAATTTACCACTGAAGGCAGTATTATAAATGAAAATTCTGGTTTTGGGCAACCCCAGCCCAGCAATACCACCTGGCAGGGGCACTGGGGGCTTCCAAGTTCCTACTTGGAAGCTGCCCCCTTTTCCCACCCCTATCCCTCAGTGTAAATGCTCCTAATCACAAACCCTGCATGTTTTGAATTCCCAGGAATACAAGTTTTGAAAGAGTTTACAGTGAGAACCTCAGTGAATGCACTTAGCTGAAGAGTACTCTATGCCCTGAATATGTTATTAGCTGGGTTTTCTTCCCTTTTGCAAGACAATGGCCCATTTTATCCTTTGCATTTTGTAATGAAAGCCTTTTTTTAATATACTTTCAGAAATAGCTTAACTGACCTCGGCACTTTGAGGATTTTACTAAAATCTGCACTAGAATTAAGTTTACATTTCAGAATGGCAGAAACCCAGCAAACTAAACTACAGTAATTGTTCCTTAGTTTTGAGTCTATTGTCAGTGAACACTTTTTACTTGTTCTGCAGCTTCACATTTTTAAGTGCTATCAGCAGTGTTCCACACCAAGAAAAAGAAATGAATGTGGCTGAAGAATACATCTGCGTTACCAGATTCTGCAAATTAAAGGAGGTTAGAGTTCAAATGAATGACAGTTTATTAAAAATGCCCTGGAGCATTCTTAATTCCAGATTGGATTCGGCTCAGTACAACTCAGGCTAACATAATACTGCTCCAGTTTGTGGGAATGAACAGGGGGAGGGACAATTGCATGTTTTCTCAGTTCAAGTATAACATATTTCTGCAGGATGATGAAGAGCTGGCAACATTCCAGCAATCAAAGTTAGTATGGTTACTACTACTACCACCTTTAAAGGGTTGGCACTTCATTTTGGCAACAATATTGGTGATAAGTACAAGAATTTTGGATTTCCCTGGCTTTTTCAAGTACCAGTAGCTCTACAAAAATTTCACACCTATTTTATTTTAAAACCTAATCTTGTGTTAGCACACAGATCATTTATGAATTTTATACCATTCAGTTGTTTTGAAAGGATTTTTTTTTCATTTCCTAAGGAGATGCATTTCTTTTCTCTACTCCAAGTTACACACTACATAAATTTCTGTTATCTCCAGCCCTGTGAAGATTAATTTAATAAAAATAATATTTGGATGTTTTCCCCCAAGATTAAGCATGAGATTGTGAAAAAGGAAAGACTATAATCCTCAAACTTTCTCTTTGTGGCTTTCCTACAAATTTATTCTGTCACTGGTCTAAGAGGGCATAGAAAACCCATTGACAGTGATGAGAGAACACATATAAAAGCCAGAATTTGTACACACCAAATATCCACCTACCAGCTCTTTCAACTCTCAGGCTGGAGATGTCAGCCCTTGACATCACTGCCTGCCTCACACAGCGAAGGTGAGTGCCAGGCATGCCAGGATCCTGCGCCAGCAGCTGCTGGCCACGCAGGGAACCACTTTATCTCATGGCTAATTCAATTATACACCTACAGGAGGGCCAGAACCAGCCATGGGGACCTACTGCTTTTAAAATTGCCAGTGCTGTCCTGCAATATGGACTTGTTTCCTCCTGTTCCTAATGCAAATTTCTCCAGCATGCAACTACCTCTACAGTTTTACTCCAAAGGTGTTTTTCATGAAAGCAAACAGACATAGCAAAGTGTCATCCTGAGCTTTGCAAGACATGGAAATAAACTTTGTCACCCTCCCCTCTACTCTCTTCTCATCCTGTTTGTCATTCATAGACAAATTCCTCACCTCTGACTTCCATCACAGTTCTGAAACCCAGGAAACAGGTCTAACAAAACCAGTACAGTTATGAAGGCTGATGCTGCTGAACCCTTCCAAACAAAAAAATTAGACACGTTAAAACATTGGAAATTGTCAGAGAAAAGTAACTGTACCCTAGAATGCATAAAGGCTTTAAAATAAACATCATAAGTGAAGGATTTAGCAGAATATTAAGCAGAATTTATAAATTCCAGGTTGGTTTTTCAACCCGTAAAAGACTGGATGCATAGGGCCAGTGACATCAGGCAGCAATGCAGCAGCAGTTCAACACAGAGCACCAGATACACTGAAGCAGCAGTCCCCAGGGAAGGGCCATGTCCTCAGGAACACAACAGCACAATTATCAAATGGGATGCCATGCTGCATGCATTTTGACATCAAAAACCCCACTGAGATTACTTAATTACCAAAAGTAGAATTTAAAGTATTTTAATCCTCCTGCTCTTACACTTGTTT